TAAACAAATACTTCTCAAAAGAAGAAATACAAAAAACCAACAAATATATTTTAAAATGTTCAACAACTTAAGCAATTAGGCAAATGCAAATCAAAACTACACTGAGATTTAATCCCACTTCAGTTAGAGTGTCAGTCATCAAGAATATAAATAATAAAAATGTTGTAGAKAAGACAGAAAAAAGAAACACTTTTATATTCTTGGTAGGATTGTCAATGAGTAYAACCAYTATGGAAATRAGTATGGAGTTTCCTCAAAAGACTAGGAATGGAATCGCCTCTTAACCCAGTTATACCACTCCTCTGTATTTATCCTAAAGAATTAAAGGCATCATACTACAGGGATAGATGCATACCAATGTTTATAGCAGCACAATTCACAATAGCCAAACTATGGAATCAGCCTAGGTGTCCACYGATGGGTGAATRAATAATAGGAAAAAAATGTGATATATACACACAATGGAGTTTTACTCAGTCATGAAGAAGAACGAAATTATGTCATTTGATGAAAAATAGGTGGAACTTTTAATCAAAATAAGCCAAACAAAAAGTCAAGAGTAATATGTTTTCTCTTGTATCTGGAAGCTCGAAAGGAATAAGGTAAAAAAAAAAAAAAAAAAAAAAAGATGGGGAAGGGAGATCTCATGAAAATCCAAGGGAGGACAGTAGAGCAAAGGAAAAGGGACCAGAGGAAGAGAGTGAGGAGAAGAAGGCAAGGGGGAAATAATGGGGAATGAAACCAACCAACTTATAGCATCATATTGTGTCCAAGTTCAAATATGTCACAATGAATTCCACCATTATGTAGGAGTATAATGTTCCGACAAAAATATGGGAACATATATTAAAAAAAATCCAAATACCTCACACTACGTAAGTGACCATTAAAAAACAAAAAAAGYCATCTGTAGGAGGAGCACCCTGGTGCCCCCCCTCAGAGGCTTCTGCAGCCGAGAGGACCGTTCCTGTGCTTGCTGCCAGTGTCTGCTCTCTGCACACTGCAGCCCAAATGCTTTTCTCCCTAAGCAAGTTTTCTCAGACTTCAAGTGTGGGGTGTTCATAATCCCAAGCACAATCTTAATTGATGGGGCCCAYAGTTAGGAGACCAATGCCTCAGAAGTATCCAGAGGACTGAACCCAGTGGTCCACAGGGGCTCCCTCCACTGGCTCTCCCTCCCTGCCCCTTTATTCACACAGTTTCTTGCTGGTCTCACTTCTTCATTGAACTGCCCACAGCCAAGGCCCTCAGGCACTGCTGGGAGGGAAACCTAAACTAAGATATTAATCCCATATGTCTACCAACATTATTCATGAAGGGCTGATACTGACAAGAATGTCTAAGAATAGCAAGCAGCTGGCCACTGGAAAGAATGTGGACATCTTTACAGAGTGATTTCCAGTTCTACCCCCAATTCTGGAATGTGCTGGAAAACCATCTTTACTTCCTACCTCTAGGATGTCATATCTGCAGGTCGCATGATATTCCACATCGAAGTCATGGATGGTGAGCTGAATGCTGCTCCCTGGGGCAGTGCTAATGTACCAGAGGCACTCCTTGCTGGGTGGATACCTGTCAGGATACCCRGGGCTGCTGAAGGAGCCCGTGGCTCCTGATAACTCTCCACCACAACCTGCGAAAACAGCAAAGCTCAGTCAGTTCCAAGTGGGTACTAGAACCTGGAAGAAATGCAAAAATTCAGCTCATTAAAGGACATTGAAAATACACAATGCCCAGTTTAGGAGAAAACTAAGTTATAACAATGTTCATGCAATTATAAAGCAATAAGAAGGGAGTGGGGGTACAGCTCAGGGGCAGAGTGCATGCTTTGCATGCACCAGGCCCAGGGTTTAAAATCTCAGCTTCAAAGCAAAAGAAATAAAGAGGGGGGGAAATCATATTTAGCATTTATTAAATCTATTCTTTTAAAAGAAACGTTATGTTATTTGTGTAACAGTGCTCAGATCTTATTTTCACCATACCAAGCTTTTGGTACTTTTTCAAAATGTTATTCTAAGTTTTAGATTTTCTTCATAATATTTAGGTGAGAATGACATCGAAGGAAGTACAATGATTATGTGAGTAACATTAATAACCTCCGTGTCTCTGGGTCTTCAGCTTCCTTGTTGCTAGTACATTATTTCTAAGTCAATTTCAGATCTAAGAACTAGAATTCTAAGTGACAAACATTCTGAAATTTGCACAAGAGACTGTAGAAAATAAAATTTTTWWAAAAAGTCTACAACACAGGTCCCRAGCCAAGGAATTTATGTCTAAACCAAACCCCAAACCAACAAATAACTAAAAACCTAACCAAGGAAAACGAGAACAGTTTATGTTTATGAATGCTCATATAGCTCATGTCTCAGAAAGCATTTAGGCCAGGTCATTACAAAAAATCACCAAATGTTGCAGCATGAGGCACACAGTAGAAAACTGCTTACCACTCATAGAGTGCTTATGTGATTTATAGGTATTTCCTATTTTGACACTCAGAATAACCACATGAGGTAGGCACTATGACTATTGCATTTCTTAAATGAGCAAATCAGTGCAGAGGTCAAGTGTCTTGCCCAAGGTTCTCTGGCTTGTAAGCGGCAGAGSTAGGTTCCCAACTGATGTAACCCCTATGTCCAGGGGTTCTACATTAACCATCTACAKATCAAAAATATTTAGAAAAATTTTGCATCTTTCTTGAATACGTGCTGACTCTTTTTGGTCACTATTCATTAAATAATACCGTATAATAACTGTAAATACACAGTATTTACACTGGATTAGGTTCTATGAGTAATCAAAYGATTATTTCAATGTAAGGGAAGATGTGCATAGGTTATATGTGAATCCCATGCCAGTCTATACAAGGGCATCTGGGATTTGAGTATGCAGGGTGTCATGGAACCAATCATCTGTGTTCTCTAGGTGCCCACCGAGCCTAGAGGAATTCAGAGACCACAGGGTGGAGAGGGAGAGAGTTCTCTACAAAAGTTTGATCTAAGGAAAGCCTATTACAGATACTGAGAGAAAAAAAGCAAAAAAGATCATCTTCTTTTCTAATAGCAATTTTTGGTGATCAAAAAAATCATTTTTAATGTTCACATTTCTGGATTTTCTTTCTTACTTTTTTCAGGATATTCTTTATTGATTGGTAAATTCTTGCAAGTGCTTTCTTGTAGTCTGCTTCAAGGTTTTTCAAGTTTAAAAATAATAGCACTTCTTCAGTCTTAYGAATAAATGTGTGTCTTATGAATAAATCTGAGATACTAAATACATGAGATACTAAATCTGAGATTTTGTCTACAATCCATCATCTGCAAATTCCTATACAGTGAGATCCAAAAAACAAAAAAAAAAAAGTTTAAAAAATTCTCTGCAGTGGCACATGCCTGTAATCCCAGCAGCTCAGGAGACAGAAGCAGGAAGACTGCGAGTTCAAAAACAGACTCAGCAAAAGCGAGGTGCAAAGCAACTTAGTGAGACCCTGTCTGTAAATAAAATACAAAATAGGCTGGGGATGTGGCCCAGTGGTCCAGTGCCCTGAGTTCAATCCCCGGTACCCCCACCCCACCCCCCCAAAAAATTCTCCATATAAAATTCCTACTAAACTGAGAAAAGCTGAAGAGAATTCTAGGAAGAACCGCAATTCCATAAAGAAACCCAATTCCAGGTCACTGTCACTACCTTCTTTTTTTTTTTTTTTTAATTGGTTGTTCAAAACCTGTCACTACCTTCTTGAGTAGCCATCTCTTGTTTCCACTTGAAAACCTGTTTCCAGACTTTAACTTTGTTGCCCAGGGCACTATCTTTCCTACATCCTGCAAAGTTCTCTCTTATTTCTGACTAAAGCCCTATGAAAAAACTAAAATTAGATGTGCTGACATTGTTTATATACTGTGGTGAATGTTAAGAAAACAAAGTGCCATAAAAGATTAGAAAATATTTGTCCTACTCTAACAACACATGGAAAATGTTCCTGAAGCCAAAATCAATACAGTTGTACCTATCTTCAGTACCACTGCTCGACCCTAGGGAGCTCCATTCACAGTACCTTCCAGAAAATGATGCTTCCTCAAGTTGGGCAACACAGTGGCGGGACTGGTATCCATTGTGCTCAGATATGGCACCTTTGCTTAAATACCATATAAGGGATGGAAGCTACTCTGTCTATGAAGGATATTCTTGATATCCTTTGTGTCACATAAATAATCCAAAGGGGAAAAAAAACCTTTTGAGGAAAATAACTTGGTGTGCCCAGGATACAAGAGAGAACAAGGAAATGGAAGCTTGAATATTTCATTTGACTTCGCTTTGGTTCATTAGCCAACGTAATTCAAGTTTTTTTTTTAAACCATAGTTAACTCATCTAAAGCCCTGTAGCAYAGTTTTCCATAGTCTTTTCCAATTGTTTTAGGTTTCCTTGTAAATTCCTTTGCAAATAACAGGATACTAATACCCTTAAACCAGTCACTGTTCACTGGAATGATAATATCARATTCTTGGCATTCAGTGATGCTTTGAAAAAATCAGTTATAGYTCTGTAGCCCCTTMWGTGCCCTTTCTCCTAAGATTTAAAAATGAACAACGAACAAGATTTGCTTAATTGCTGAGTACATATAGCACTTGCCTAGCATGCAAGAAGGYCTGAGATGCTTATCCCCCACCTCCCACCCCTCAAAAAAGTTTGTTTAAAAAAAAGAGCAAAAGTTTCGTTTTATGTATGTCGTATTCTGTTCTCATCAAAAGCACCTGYGTGTACCTTTTAAAGAGAAATTCCAATATTATAAATGATACTCTGTTGGGGAAAAAAAATAAAGAGGCTATAACAAAAAARGAAACTGTTAGAACTTGAAATTCTTTCAAGTTTGTTTCTTTTACTCTTTTACRCACTTACCACCTCTGAAGTTAAACATATCAAAAGGTAGCATATTTAAAAGTTCACATCAAATGCAAAATAGAATATGTAATTTAGTAGCATTTTACAGTTGACGTGGTAAAACACTAGAAAATAAWGTCAATTCTGATAACGATGGTAGAAATTTAATGGCACTTAAAAAAAAAATTTTGTGGTACTGAGAATTGAACGCAGGACCCTTTGTGCGCCAGACAGTGGTTTACTGGTGAGCTACATCAATGCCTTTTTATTTTTATGTATTTTTATTTTAAAACAGGGTCTCACTAATTCACTCAGTCTGGCCTCTAATTTGCATTCCTCCTGCCTCCCTCCTAAGTTGCTGGGATAACAGGGGGRCACCACTGCACAGGGCCTGAAATAAGTTTTTGTCACTTGCATGTGACAACCACTCTACCCCTGCTGTTTATTCTATCTTAAGACTACTCAGATGTGGGACAAGCTATGAGAAGGACTTTGAGCTAAAAGAAGAATCACTAGCTAGAAATCCATGAGGAGCTGAAGAAGATGTAAGAAATTGGTTGTTCATCACACCACAATAAAAGTTTAAAAACTCAGTTCATACGTGCATGGTAGTTCAGTTTCTAAGTGTTTTCAATAAGCACATTTTCTGACTTTTAATTCATAATGCCAGTATGAGATAGGCAAGAACAAAAACGTGAGGACTATTTTAGAGATAAATAAAGAGAAGCATCAGAGTGACCTGCCCTCACCACATGGTGAATGGCAGACCTGGGACAAACCCAGATTTTCTGACACCACCCCACCAACCAGCCTGTCTCTAGTTGTGTGTTCTCTACTGTGCCTTTTTGACCACGTCAGCCCAAAAGGCACTGGAATGACAGTATTGGACACTGCCCTGGGTACTGTTTTGTCCCCGTTGACTAGAGAAAAAGTCACCATAGCAACGTGGAAAAAGTAAACAAAACAAAAATCTTTTCATTGARACAAATCTGACAAAATTTAGTATGTTAACATCACTGAGACATTAGCTGAACTGGAATACAATCATGTTTTTGAAGAGAATCATTTGCTTTTCAATATTAAATAGCTAATCTTTTTGAAACTTTTACTGGTGACTGATAATCTGATTTTATTTTCCTCTAAAATCCGAGTCATTGGCTGAAAGGAAGTCCTTACTTTATCAGCAGGAAGCACATTAATCTACTGAACACATAAAGAGGAAGAGTAAAATGCTGTTGCTAAGCCTGCTTACTTATGTAGATAATTTTAAAAAATGTTTTTTTTCATATGAGAACCTTGCTAATGCTGTTTTTGTTATTGTCTAAAACAAACTATGAGTTATAAAATTCCAGCAAAAAAAATTAATAATAATCTCCTCTGTATGTTCTATTTTTAAGTGTGTGTGTGTGTGTGTGTGTGTGTGTGTGTGTTAATAAGGACTTTGAAAAAAGAAGCCAGCAATAAAAGAATCAAACATGATCAGAGGTAGAAAGTTTAAATGGTACATTCTGCATTGTCTTATGATGGCTCAAATTTAGTCTCCTCTTTACACTCCTGAAACTACATTCCATAAATTGATAGCCTCAGAAGGGGTATCAGCTTGGAACAGACTTGGCCAAAGCCCACAGACCCAACTAGGAGCCCCTATCACCCTTATCCTTTGATTCCTGAGGGAAATGCCTGAGAAAATCAGCAGCTGGTGTTAAAAAGAAGCCCAAAAGCCAAAGTACAGTAAGAGTAAATTTTAAACACAATAAATG